GGCTACCGTTTCTTTTCCCTCAGCGAAATTCCACGCGAAATTACGAAAATACCTTTTTTTATGAGAGGCGTCCTAGGACGCGTCTAAGACGTCGCCTAAGACGCCAACGCGTTTTTCACCGTTTTTGATGCGTTTTAGAGTTGGTTTGCTGCACCTTCTCTTCTTCTTATTTCACTGCCATGGCCGAAAAGTCCTTCTAAAAATCGATTTTTCTTGATTTCTTCCTCAAATCTCAACCAAAACTCTTGATTTTTGTTGCATTTTTCAAGAAATCAAGTAAGAAACATCACATTGCAAGATTTACACACTCTAATCACTTATTTGGGGCCGATTTCAAAACCCACAAAAACTAGGGTTTCGAAATTTTGACTTATTTTCGGATTTTTGCTTCAAGTTACTTCTTCTTCTTCACTAGAAACATCATCTCAACAAGGTATGTGCTTCAAAACTCTATCTTTTAGGCCAATTTCGAAATTTCTCTTGTATGTTCATATATGGTAGAAATTTTGAAAATTTCTTAGAAATATGACATAGAATGGTGTGGAATCTTATGGATAAATGTTTGTTGTTGCTAGATAGATGTTCCAAACAAGTTGCATGTGTCATCTGTGAATTTTTCTAAAAATTGAATTTGTGTTGTTAAAAAAAACATATAATGTTGGAAAATCATTCTTATGTTTATATTTGTGTTTGGATTAAAAATTCAAGTTTTTAGAAATTTTTAGAATGACACTTAATTTTGGCACTGCATTGATAGTCTGAATATTTACCCGTTACAGTTCTGTTATGGTTTTAGTTAGAACTTGTCAGTTGCAGTTAACCTTTGGTTTAGCTGTGTTTTTACAGATTAGATAAATTTTTGAAAAATATTTAGTTACCGAAAACATAACAGGACTTAAAACAATTATTTATTTAGACTGAATTTATTTTAACTTTGTTTGGAACAGCTTGCTAACTAAATATTTGTTTTATTTTTGTGACACTTATGTGTTTAATGGCAAGTTTTGTTTTGTGGTTTTGTGTGTGGTTGATTTTGCAGATGCCAACAAAGAGATCAAGGGTAGCATCATCAAGCAGTGCAGCCAGACAACCAGTTAGATAGCCGGAGCCAAATGTACCTGTGGCTTTCAACCCACAGTATCAGACATTGCATGAGCATCCAGACTACATTCGCCCGACAATTTATGAGGCGACTCATCCGATTACGGGTTTTATTGTAGAGTACATGGTGGAGCGACCGAGCTTCACTGGGTATAATATTGTGGAGACGTTTGATCGCTATGGATGGGGTGGAGCGCTGGACTTCAATCCCATGCAGATTTATGTTAATATAGTGCGGGAATGGATGAGGACACTTCAACGTGTCGAGGTGCCTGGTAGGTAGGAGGAGTTGCAGTTGATTGGGACGGTTTGTACTCATGATATAGTGATGACTGTGCAGGGTATTCGGGACATGTTTCATGTAGATACTGGATATCATCTGCATGATCTTGAGAATCAGTCGACTGAGTATAGATGTATTGACACGAGGGGGGGGTAACCCTGGGGTTAGTATGACAGAAGTATACCGTACAGTATTCCCTGAGGGGACGAGGGCATACGACAGATTTCGCGAATTGGTACCCTTAGCAAAGGCATTGCATAACATTATCATGGAAAATGTGAACCCGAGGAATAGTGATCCCAGGGCGGGAGCTGGGGAATAGGATCAGGGTCCCACGAGCTACATCATACCAGCGTATCCTTCGCCCCACTGCTACTTCTTTCAGACACATCTCATTTCATGTTGAAAATGGGAGGCATACTCTGAGGGATTCTGCCACGAATCTGACATACACGTCACCACTCGGAGTGGGGGATGAGGAGCCATTTGTTGGTGATTTTCAGGGGGATCGTCAGCAGCAACAGGGACAAGCAGCAGGTCAAGGATGGAACATGCAGGCAGCTTGGGAGGACTTTGTGGGGAGGCAAAACACGCATAACCAGGAGGTGCGGGCTTGGATGGGGAGAACAGATATATGGATGGAGGGTGTCGACACGACACTAGCTAATCTTACTGAGCAGATGCGACAGGTTGGCATTACAACTGACAACACTTATAGTGTTGCTACTCATCAGTTATACCAACAGGAGTACTATACAGATGCGGCTTATAGACGCAGTCGTGTACATCATGACCCGATGGACATTGATCTACCACAGCGATCTCGAGCGCCAGCACCGATTTTCTACCGATCTGGGGACCCGAGTGACTATCCATCACCATCGGAGTACGAGCATTATCATCCACCACCAGCTACAGCAGACACCGTTCGATTTGATGATTTAGCTGGATCGATCTTTGGATATCCTCCACCATACCCACGATATCCGCCACAGCCGCCCCCGCAGTGAACTTTGGTGAGATCCTCTTTTGATTTTTATTTTTATGGTTGTGTGATGAAGACTTTTTCTTTTTCTTTTTATTTTTCTTTTGATTTTCATGTCTTTATTTGGGATGAATGTACTCCTATTAAACTTATTATTATTATTATTATTCTCTCTTGGGTTGGTTCTATGAAATATGTGATGAGTTAGTAGCATCTCTATATCTTGAATGTAACTCATCAAGATGGAAAATGATAGGAGTTTCGTATATCGAGTCATAATATATATTAAATATTGATTTTGTGGGTTGCTCGGTCGGTTTGGGAATATTTATATTTATTTAAAAAATTGTTATGTGAAATACCCAAGTGTTTGAAAAATGAAGGTTTTTGGCTCGAGCCTGCGATCTTTCAATTGAGGACCCAACCGAACAATATGTGTCATCACGCTCTGAGTACTTGGTCTTACTTACTCCCACGCCTTTGGGGTTGGGAGGGGACTATTATTGTTTTCACACAACCAAAAAGCATCATAAGACATTGAAGAACTTCCAAGTATATATATATTCAAGCTAAAGTCAAATACAAAGATGATCAAATCCGATGAATCCATCAAAGAACTTGAAGAATGCACAATCAAGATAAATATGAAGAAAAGTTCAAGTTGAAGACATTGTGTGAAACAATATGTGACCCCTCGATAGCGGGAGTGTATGGGTTGGTCCATTAAGTGTTACCGACCGCGCTAACTATGTTAGTGAACCTTGAAAAGGGGACTTTGGCAATGAGTTCAATTGATTACTCATGAGGTTGATTATTGGAAATGGTTCAAAAAGTGGAGGGTTCAAACAACAAAGTAAAATAAGCATAACATGTGTTTTGAGTTTAAAAGTCTGGATAAGAAACTAATAATCCCCAAAATCAACATATTGTGCCATTGAAAAATATTGTGATAAAATGTACGGAATTCGTGATTCCATTGAGTTTTTCTTAGGATAAGAGACTAAGTCTATGCTGATTATTTCAGACCAATCTCGGGACGAGTTTGGAATAAAGTTGGGGAGGTTTGATAAGTCTATTTTATGAATGTACTAAATTGTCATAAATATGTTGAATTGATGTATAATTGTCCAAGAATGGCACTACTTTGATGAGTTGTTGAACTCCATATGCAGGTCAATATATCATACTAAAAGTGGGCGGAACCTGCAAGCAAAACGGATTGTTAAAGGAATGAAAAAACGTTGCTGGAAAAATTGACCATGCTTCAATGTTTTGGTCATATCTCAAGTTCTGGAGCTCCGATTGACATGAGTAAAGAAGTACTGGAAACTAGACAAGATTTGCTACAACTTTCGTGTTTTGTGTTTCTGCTAGTTATTTCGTTTTGACCACCAAAACTTGCACGGAAGATGAAGGACGCCCATAGGCGTCTAAGACGTCCTCTAGGACGTCCAAGTCAAACAGTCAACATCTGGTCAAATTTCATAGCAAGAAAGAAGGAAGAACCCCCGTCGGCGTCTAAGACGTCACCTAGGACGTCGTGGCGTCTTAGGGGCGTCTCGTGTTGGAACGGCGTGTTTCGGAAAGTTTAGAAATCAAGGAAGGACGTACTAGAACGCGTCTAAGACGTCACCTAAGACGTAAAGCGTTTTGGCCAATTTTTAGTGTATTTCAAGGACGACAGAAGGCATGCAAAGACGTACAAAGAACGCCTGGGCGTTATACATGTCGTCTAAGACATTTCGTAGGACGTCCAACGTCCCACATCGCCCGGTTTCACTATTTTCTGCCGAATAATATAAATAGGGACTTATGCATTCGTTTTTAGGGTTACCACCTACGATTTTCAGAGTTTTTCCTGCGTTTTTAAGGCTACTAAAACCCTTGGAAACATTTGGAAACACAAGTCTATTCCATTTCAATCCGAATTCATCATCAAGCAACATTTGAAGATCATTCAACGGGTGATTCTCATCAATTCTAGTAATTTTCAGAAACGATTACTTCCTCCTAAGGTTTATTTGTTTCGTATTTTGATAATTAATAGGCTACATTTGTTTGATGATTCTAAGTTTGATTATGAATTCTATTATGTATTTCATTTATTTCATCCAAGTTAGTGTTTTTATGAACTCAATGGAAGGCTAAATCATTAGGGTTACTCCCGTGGATGTTTAGGACTTTTTGATGAACACACTTGATTATTACTTGATTCTAGTTAATTTCAATTGTTGTTTTATGCTTTATGTGATGATCTTTGGTAATGATAATTGAAATTGGGTTGTATGAATTGTTTGAGGTCATAATTAAGATAGTCTATTGCCAATTCATCATTTGTTCCAAGTTCAATTAGTTTAGGAATAAAGACAAATGATTGAATCAACATATATTATTCCAACTTATGATATTGAATCTTAATGTGGTAATAGGTAGTTGTAAGACATTTTATTGCTAGTTCACTAATTGTTCCAAATCCATTTAGACATAAATGAGTAAGACAACTAGTTGAATGAACATCTAGTGTGCCCAAAACTATGTATTACAAGTTAATAAACCTCAATTGCATCTAAGTAATTGAATTAGAATTTAAGAGAAGAAAGTGTGTGAATCTAAACTGTCTGTAACTGAACCGGGAGTACTCTAGTTTTCTCATTGACATTTTTGTTTTAATTAATAAATTTCCAAGCTTTTTATTTGATCATTGATTTAATCTTTTTCGTGACAATTGCCAATAATATATTTTTGTTGACTATTTTCACACAAAGTTTGACCACAAACTCCTCGTGGATTCGACTTTTACTTACCCTAGCTATCTAGTGGTTTTGAGGTTATTTTTGATTGAGACAACGACCTCGATCAAAATTTGGCGCCGTTGCCGAGGAGATTATGCGCTTGAGCTATTGTGTTTAAGTAGTTATAGTCTTTTACTTTCATTTTCAATTCTCGTTTGCAGTTCACGGTTTGTTTTATTTGTATTGTGCAGGCACAAATAGAAATAAAAATTCGTAAGTAGTAATTTCACCGTTCGAATGTGCAAAATTACTTTTCACCTGCAAAAATCATTAGTTTTTTGTGAAAAGAACTTTTTGTAATAGGAATATTCAAATAACATTTTTAAAAAAATAAATAATAAAAAATAAAAAACTATGCAGGTGAATAGTAATTTCGTAGGTTTAACATGCAAAAATATATGAGAAAATAACGTGCAAAATTACTTTTCACCTGCAAAAATCTTGGAAAACGCTTAAAAGGGTTTAGCCAAATTTAATAATCATAAAATAATCAACTAATTTTTATTACATCCATACAATAATACCAAACAAATAACAAGTTCAAACTTTTTAAATGCAAAATAGAACAAGAACAGTATGTTGCAGCATATCAATCTCACATATTAAACTAAAACCTCAAAAATAAGTAGTAACATGACATTATATTTTCACTCACCTTAACAAGAACAATGACTACTACTTCATAAAATTCCAAATTCCTCTATTCGGAGGGAGTTGCCTTTATCTTCTCCTTCAGTTCACCATTCTTCATAACACAAAAAAGTTTTCAAAAACACAATTATAATTGGAAAGACCAAAGATAAAAGATAAAGATGCAGAAATTTACCTGATGCATATTCAGGATAATGTCTGATCCTCCTATGAATTCTCCATTGATAAATATCTGTGGAAATGTTGGCCACATGCTGCAATGCATACACACCCAACAAAAATTAATAATGATATGGAAAAGTATGTGCCTTTTGACCCATTTGACTTGTTCACCAATTAGATGATAAATATATAAATGGTTTGAAAGTCGAAACTACCGCCTCTAATTGTGTTTGTTACCTGAAAGATTTTACAGCATTCTTAAGTTCAGGATCTTCCAATATGTTTCTAGAATGTATAGGAACACCTACAAAAATCCCCACCAGCACTTGGAATTACTAAAACACCCTCGACAATCCAAATAGAAAAAGGAGGTAAATGAAACTACCATTTTCAATTCCAAATTAACCCTTTTACTTTACAAAGATTTGAGCACTTACGATATTCACTCAACACTCTGACTGCTAATGAGCTGAATCCACAACGGGGTTGTTCTGGATCCCCTTTCATGTAAATCATCACATGGTTGTCCTTCACATCCTACATTTTGCAATTAACCGATGTAATCATAAGATCCAAAGGGCACATTTTAGTCAAAAGAGAGGTTTTTTGTTAAACTTGGCAGTAACCACCAACCTGCTCAACAATGTCTTTTAGGGTAAGTTGAGAATTTTCAAGCTTATTTGTGGGCTTGAAATCATCATGTGTATCCGGATCATTGGGTACACTAGTTGAAAATCTCAACCCATGCTGCTACAAATGGTATCAAGCATCAAGATTTTCAAATAAAAGCAATCACTTTAGCGGTAATTCAAGCAAACTCAAGCAAACCTAGTATTTACCATATTCTAATTTAACATAAATCATAGATGCTTCGAGTAATTATCTGATAAGATCAGTGATATCAATAGCGAGCATAGCGACCGCTATTGCGTTTTGCGAGGCGAGGCGTTCAAGGGTCGCTATGGGCTCAATAGCGACTGCATAGCGACGTAGCGACGTTCTTGATTTTTTTTTTTTTTTAATACAGTATTTATAGACCCGTTTTAGGGTTTTTTTTAGTTGACTAAGTCAAAGAAGGTTCATACGCTCTTCTCTCGACCCAGCCTCCCTTCCGCTTCTTCAACTATTGCCAGCTCCTTTCCTTCTTCCTGCGATTTCTCTTGCAATCAAAGATTAATAGTCTTTTTTGGTAGTATGCATGTTTTAGAACTTATTTGAGTTAATAGTCTTGGGGTTTTTAGCTTATTTATTAGTTATAATTGTTAATTAGGTGAAAGTAAAAGTAGTATAAATTTTTTAACAGGTATTCTCTAAAAATGAAATAGTCGTCGCTATTTCATCGCTATCGCGACATAGCTTATAGGTAGGTTGTCGCTATGACTTCGCTATCGCCATCGATAACACTGGATAAGATGTTTCTATACTAGTTATAACTTTATTAATGAGGCAAAACACTTGTTATGAATTGATTTAGACGGAGTAAGTTTTAACTAAAGACTAAACGTTCAAAATAGAGGTTAAAACTCTAATTTGAAATCTAAATTAGAAGGAAAGGTCATCAATTTAGACAATATACAATTATAAGTTATAACATACCAAACTACCTATGTGGTTGTAATGGTAGATTCGATTGACCTAAAGCTCTTGAATAGCATGTTCAATAACACCTTTGTCATCGTATTACATGTACTACTCTGCACCAAGTCATCAAAAAAAATCGAGGTGGTGTTTAACATAAAAAAAGAGAAATTAATCGGTTGTAACCAATGTAAGGTAAAATAACAAGATTTAACCCTAAATCCAAAGGAAATCTTAAAAATACAAGGACAACTAATAATCGACTTATGATTCTTTTTCTCTTTTTTCTTGGTGATTATTTATCTGTTCGAAATTTTGGTTTTCCTTCTTAATCTTTGAACATGAATGTGAAAAAAATAGTTGAATAAGCCATAATGGATTCGATGCAGCACAAATAATGGGTCGGATTATCGGGTAACTAAAGAGATGAATAAATTACACAAAATGGTTTAGATGGTTTGGTTTAGTCTGTTTATTTTATTCATTATTTGTTTTTTAACTTCGGACATCTTATTGTTTGTTTTTAAATTGAAACATATTTATGATTTGTTCTTGTTTTGGATTTCGTCTCTATCAGACAAAAAAAGATTATATTGCTATTTTCTATTGAAACATCAAAAACTGATGCATCAATGGTGGTGGCAAAGGGTTCATCAAATTAATGTTGATCGTTTATAGAGTGTTCATCAACTTCACAAAGGTATTGAAGCGTTAAAAACTAATGCAGTAGTGGCAACAATTCAACAAACGATTGAGCGAAACGACTAAGCTGAAGTGAAGCCCCCAACGGGACTGAGACTTACGACCAATCTGTTGACTTTAAAGACCCTATGTAAAAAGTAAAAATGGGTCCTTAAAATTTTGGATTATCAATTGATATCGACAGATACCGATGGATTTGTAACAACTTAGCAACGTTTTAACAAAGGATTAACGACGGATTAGCAACAATTTAAAATTTCGAGCGCCTTCGATTTTTGATTGACCATTTTGTCAACCGATCTGCTAATCAATTCTTGAGTTTTAATTTGTAATTCCCTAAAGTTCTACAAGTTCTAAATACTTACGTCTGAAATCTGAAGTTCGCACATGCTATTCAAAAGCTCTACAGGTGGTGGCACCTAGCAATTGCATTAAAGACCTAGATATGGCTACCAGCAAATTATATGCAAGACGAGGGTCTGGATCTTGGCAGTTATATGTATAATGCTAGTTGACTTTGTGATACTTACATAGAAGACCAGGAGGTGGCTCTTGGCACTTGTCTGTAAGACCGGGGTTTTGGCCCTGACTTGGCAAGTAAAGACCATGATACGGCTCATGACATAATGGCAATTGTCAGACTATGGTTAGCACATATTAATCTCTATTGTATGTATGATATGTAGTATTTTGGGGAACTAACTAAGCTTTGTACTTACAGTTTTATGTTCAAGTACTTTCGGCTCTAAGGAGAAGAGCCCAACGTGACTGCACTGCATCCCCCAAAGTTTCCTCATTGACTACTTACGATTTTTACTCTGATGTTTACATGATGTAATCACTTTGATTGATTTTGGAACAACTTATTTGCATAACTTATTGTTTTAAAAATAAAAGTGATTGATTTTGGAACAACTTATTTGCATAACTTATTGTTTTAAAAATAAAAACTTTACTCTGAAATTAATTTTGAGACGTTACATTTCTAGTCCAATAAGGACCAAACCAAAACAAAAACAAACCTTAAAGATGCTCCAAGTTGAAAACAAACCGTAAAAATATCTGAAGTTAAAAACAAAATAATGAATCAAATAAAAATATTAACCCAAACCATCTAGACCATTTGTGTAAATTACTCATCTTTCTAACTATCGGATAACTCGATCCACTATTTGTGTTGCGTCGAATTCATCATAGCCTATTCACCTATTCTTTTCGCATTAATGTTTAAAGATTAAAGAAGAAAAATAGAAAGGAACCGACTTTTCAATTGTTTCGAATAGATAATCACAAAGAAAAAGAGAAAAAAAATCATCAGTCGATCGTTAATCATCCTTATATCCGTAAGATTTACTTTAATTTTAGGATTAACTCTTAATCTTTTACCTTATACCGATTACAGCAGATTAATTTATCTTCTTCTATGTTTAACACCTTCTCAGTTTTTTGATTTGGTGCAAAGGCATACATGTAATACGATGGCAAGAGCATTATCGAACATGGTATTCAAAAGCCTTAGGTCAATTGAATTTATACCTACAGCCGCATTGGTATGTTATAATTGTATATCGTCTAAATTGATGACCTTACCTTCTAATTAAGACTTCAAATTAAGGTTTTAAGTTTCACTTTGAACATTCCGCCTACAGTTAAAACTCTCTCCGTCTCAGTCGATTCAGAACTGATAACAAGTGTTTTGCCTCATTCCTAAAGTTATAACTATTATAAAAACATCTTATTAGATAATTACTCAAAACATTTTTGATCTATGTCGAGTTAGAATCTGGTAATACTATGTTTGTTTGAATTTGCCAACTGATTTACAAAGTAGAGAGGTGGAAAGATTCTTCTCAAAATGATCATTTCCTAAAAATTTCTTCAAACTGTTTTACTAAACTAAATACTAGTCGTTTCATGTAATGTAGTTGCAAACTAAAGCACATGTTAGCATGTTAAACAAAGTATTATGAAAGTTGATTTATAATTAATATGTTTATCCTCAAAAGTTGTGTTTTATGGCGCCAATTAATCATTGTGGCCTTTATGCTCGGCAGATTTATGCTTAAATTATTTATTTGTAGAGCTACATTGTGACCCTTGCTTTCCTTATTTAAAGTTGGTGTGCAACATTATGTACTCTTCAGATTCACTTACTTGTAAAATATAATATGATCCTAGTGAACATACCATAGTAGAGAAAAGATATGGTTCTTAGGGAACATTACATTGTAGAGCAAGAATACAATTCTTAGCATGATTAATAGTAGAAGAGTATCCCCAAAGGAGCTAATTCATAAACTAAATTTCATGTATATGTTACAAAGTGCTAAAATTACTTCTAAAAGACCTGGCATAAGAGTAGTATGCAGTATATATATAATAAACAAGAATCTTTATGTGTAATGACATTATATATTGATGATATCAGGGATAGATAACAAATGGCTATTATTCAACACAAGGTGTTGACATTCTTTTGATGTTACTAAATTTCTGCAGTTATGATTCGAATCAATACAAGTATCTGTATCGATGAAAACAATTCGGCTTTTTTAATAGAAGACAATATCATTTGAAATAAATTATCGTTGTACTTGCCTTGGTACCGAATAGACCTGAATAGTGACGAGCGATAACAGTCGGGGATGACCGAAGAGTCGCTGGAGATAGCGAAGACCTAACGATACGATTAGGTCTGGCAACAGGTCGGAGTGCTAAGAGCTTAGCAGAGGCTCGTCTCCACATGGTTTCACCTTCACCGGAACCCTAGGTTTACTTCACCGGAACCCTAGGTTTACGGCTGTTGATCTGAATGGGCGACGGGAACTTTTCTTTTTCAGGAGGAAAAATTTCGCACAGGGTGAAAATGAAATATAAAATTGGGGGTGTGAAATAATGCCTTTATGCGAGGAGTGTGGGATGATCCTCTGCCGAGGGTGCAGGGGAGCTACATAGCCCTCTAGTTAAGCGAAGTAAACTTGTATTTTTTCAACCTAATTGGGTCTTCTCTTATAAAATCGGCCTTTTGTCTCAAAAGAAGCCCAATTGAATATTAATCCAAAAATATGTGATTGGACTAGTCAGTTTTAATTTCTCAATTGTATAGTTTAATTCTCGTCTTTTTAAAATTTTATTTTATGTAAAATTAATTTAAAACATATAAATAATAACAGCACTTAAATAATATACTAAAAATTATAACATGAGTTTTATCTTTTTTCAATATGTCAAGACTAAAAATATTAAACATGTGAAATAAGGGTTTTTTTACAAATTTATACATAATAGGCCAAAAGTATATAAAATAAAATTACAAGGAACATAATGATCTAACTACAAACATTGTTTGTAAAATAGAATTTTTCAATAAACTTCATTGTCTAGTTATATCATACATATTGAAGTTTTAATCCCTAGATATCTTCAATGGTCGTTTTGTTAAGCTTTTATTGTCCACTAACATATATTATTTTCACAAACTCTTTTTAATGGTTAACAATTTTAAATACTACATTTTTCAGAAATTCAGAAATTTATCTTTCCAAAAATAAGATTAGTTGGCATTAATACTTAAATAAGTAAAAAAGCGATAAAATATTATTCAATCTTAATATTTTTTAATCTTTGATATTTGTGTTGTTTTAAAATTTTGGATAAACACTTTTTAGTATATAAGATAAATTTCTATAAAAATATATTTTAGTTTGTATAGTTATTTAAATATATAGGGTGTGAAATGAAATATCATTAAAGCTATGGCTCAAAATAAAGACCATAAAAGAAAATTAGTAAATTGTAAACTTGATTTGGTATCCACAACTTGAGTTCATTTTTTTCATTGTCATGAACACTCTAAAATTGATATTTACATGCAGATTTTGTTCCAGTGGTATACCAAAATGTACAATTTATTAGAGACGGACTCAAGTCTCATAGTTAGATATAGATTGTACTGAATATTTATTGTTATCTATTCCTAAAATAGTGGTTGTATTTTCCTTGTAATTCTTCCTCTATATAAAGGGTTTTAATAATCAATATAGGGGATCGATTCCTTCAATCATAATCTACTTTCATGGTATCAGATCTATGATTCTGAAACCCTAACAACATCCCTTAATTTTTTTATCTGCTGCCTTTGACATTTTTTTACTCTGTCAACTCCATGGGAGATAAACCAGGATCTTCCGACTCCAAGACTCATGCTGCCTTGCACCCGGCTTACACAGTCACAAATATCCAAACCAAGGTCCGAACTCTTGACAGATCTAAAGTTACATACTCGGTTTGGACAAAATTGTTCACGCTTCACGCCATTGCATATAAAGTTGCTGATTACATCGATGACACAGAGCCACCGGAGGAGACAGATGAAGGCTACACCCAATGGAAAGAAATCAATACACTAGTTCTACAGTGGATCTATGCTACTGTTTCAGATGAGGTTCTTGGCAGAATCCTAAACATCAAAATGACCGCCCGTGCGGCTTGGCTCCGGATTCAAAAGATTTACCACAGTAATAAAGGATCAAGGGCGGCGGCCCTTGAAGGAGAGTTCTACAATCTTACCCTTAGTATATGTTCGTCTATGGACAATTATTGTCAACGACTTTCTGATCTTGTTGAACAACTCGGAGATATTGATAATCTCGTATCTGAATCTCGGCTTTTCCTTCAACTTGTTCGAGGCCTACCCCCCGAGTTCGACATCGTTGCATCCTTTATCTACCAAATCTCGGATATTAGTTGGGATACCGCACACAACATGATTCAATAAGAGCAACAACGTGTGGCTGCCCGGAAAAACCCAACTCAATCAGTTATTGTCGCCCCTCAAGACAATCGTTCTGCTGCTCCACCATACAACACTGATCCTCGTCAACACCTTATCATCACAATTCTTCTCGAGGACAGGGTGGCAGTTTTCGTGGTCGAGGCCGCTTCGGCAGAGGTCGTGGTTGCAGCTACTCGCAACAACAATGGAATGCTCCTCATCAACAATGGCAATCACACTAGTGGGGACAACAATCATGGACACCACCTCCCGCACCCTACCCGACTCAACCCACTTATTCAGCCCCATATCACTACCCCACTTACTCACCTCAACAGGGAGCTGCCTAACGATCCTCCCCATCAGCCTAATTTGCTCACTGGTCTACTCCTACTCATGAAGTTGTTCCAACAAATGATTTTAGAGGTTATAATGTTTTTAATCCCAATGATTTATCTCAGGCTCTCCAACAAGTTCATTTGAATACTCATGACCCTCAATGGTATATGGACTATGGAGCATCTTCTCATCTTACTACAAATCAAGGTAAAATCACTACACCTTTGTTTTCTTCTCCTGTTAACTCTATTTTTGTTGGAGATGGCAAGACAATTCCAATTCATGGGTCTGGCAATTCAACCCACAAATTACCAAACCAAACCTATCGCCTAAATAATATTATTTTCACACCCAACATTATCAAAAATTTATTATCCGTTTGCAAGTTTACTATTGACAATAATACATCCGTTGAATTTGATCATTTTAGCTTTTCCGTGAAGGATCTCAAGAGTGGAGCCCTCATGTCCCGCCACAATAGCTCTGGAGAACTCTACCCCTTCACATCACCATCCATCGCTTCAGCTTGTCTCTCTACTACTACTGATCAGTGGCACAACTGGCTAGGCCACCATGACGAGTCAATTTTGGATTTAGTTCGTACTCATTTTTTCAATCCATTGTAATATGGCTACGGCCAAGTATTTTTGTCACTCATGTCAACTTTCTAACACACACGTTTACCATTTTATGATTCTCACTCGGTTACCCTTGCACCTTTTGATTTAATACATTGTGATTTGTCGACTTCTCCAATTTTGAGTAAATCCGGTTACAAATACTATATGGTCTTGATCGATAATTTCACTCACTTATTTATGGGTGTACCCATTAAAATATAAATCAGAAACTTTTACCAATTTTTCCAAATTTCATCGGCTTATTTCAACCCAATTTAATCGTAATATCAAAACCTTTCAATGCGATCTAGGTAGAGAATTTGATAATCATAACTTCAAAACTTTTTCTGAAACCCACAGCCTTACCTTTCGCTTTTCTTGTACCCAAACCTCCCAACAAAATCGTTTGGCCGAACGGATGCTTCGTCGCTTAAACGACATCATCCGCACTCTTCTGACTCATGCCCATTTACCCCTTCAATTTTGGGTAGAGGCTCTACACACCGCCATTTATCTTTACAACATATTACCCACCAAACGCCTACATTTTTCCACCCCCACCTTTGCTCTATTTGGCCAACACCCTACATATGATCATCTATGTGTGTTTGGTTGCACGTGCTACCCAAACCTGTCTGCCACCCAAACAAATAAACTCCACCCTCGTTCCACCAAATGCATCTTTCTTGGGTACCCAGAAAAATTTAGGGGATACCGTTGTTACGACCCATCCTCCGACAAAGTCTATGTAACATCCCAAATTTCGAGCCCAAAAATTTCGTTTTTAATTAATTGATTTATAAAACTTCCATAAGAAAACATAGTAAAGACATATCATTTCATAAAACTATTATCTCATGTCTGAAAAACAAACCATAAATAAAACAACGTCAGAGTATAATCCCAAGAATCTCGTAATGCGGAAATCCAACGTGTGTGTGTATGATGTGCAGCTACCGCGCCGGCTCCTTCCCCTTCGCTGAAGAGGTACCTGAAACAAAACTGAAAACTGTAAGCACGAAGCTTAGTGAGTTCCCCCATCGTACCGCATACCACACAATCACATAACATACATATACTGTCAGGCATATCTGGGTGCCCGACCTACCCCTTCGGTCCTCTCGACCGGATACTGCCTAGCATATCTGGGTGCTGGCCTCCCCTTCGGTCATCTCGACCGGATACTGCCTAGCATATCTGGGTGCTGGCCTCCCCTTCGGTCCTCTCGACCGGATACTGGGGACTATTTCACTCCTCTACTACTACCACATAACATATAACACATAATCATATTCTATCTAGCATGACTGGGTATGACTACCCCCCCTTCGGCCCTATCGACCGGAAATCTTGGGGACTATCTCCACTACTGGTACTAGCATATAACATCATATCATACTAGCACATAACACATCAGGTAGTAGCAAACCTAGATGAATATCACAAAGATAATCATCTAACATACGAATCCTACTGTTGGGCCGACATTGGTGCCTTAGACCCACTTCTACTGGAAGGTAACTAACCTCGTACGGCTGACTGCTGAAATGATGATCGGGAAATGTCTAACTGCTGCTCCGGTGATCCTCCCTATAAATCCATAAAACACTTAATCAGACACTGATAACTACTCTTAGGGTAAAATGACTATTTTAGCCCTGACCAAGTCAAAGTCAAAGTCAACCTCCAGTTGACCTGACTCGTCGAGTTAGACCGCCAACTCGTCGAGTCCCTATCCTTTCATCTGACCTTCCTCAAGCTCCTACTCGTCGAGTTTGGCAACGACTCGACGAGTTCTCCTTCGAAAACATCCTCGAATGAATCTTCATCCGACTCGCCGAGTTGTATGAACAACTCGTCGAGTTCACCTTCATCCTATGAACATGTCCAGTCTGCGACTCGCCGAGTTGTATGAACAACTCGTCGAGCTCATCTTTGAACGTTGGGAGATTGCCTTGGACTCGACGAGTCTGTTCATACACTCGTCGAGTCCTATGATCCCCAGGACTATGGCTAAGTCCAATGCGTTGGGTCATTCCCCCGGACCCCTCTAAGACCACTCTAACACTCACTGTGTTCCTTCGAACCATAACAGAAAAGGGAAGTCAAGCCATGGACTCGCCGAGTCGAGAATGACCAAGTCTTATTTCTCGATTTCTGACGTACAAC